CCTCACTGAATTCTGCTAGATTATCCTAAATTAATAAAGAAAAGACGTTTAGGTTTCAAAGCAAGTCCCAAACCTAACCAAAAGGTAATTTTCAGAAAAAGTCCAGAAAACTGTTTTCTCTAAAAATGCAGTATCATGTGATGGAAAGAACATGAGCACTGAAGTCAGATCTCAGTTTAAATACTGTCCCACTCAGTAGCCGTGTGAACTATTTAGCATTTTGAAACATTTCTCTTCACGTAGAATATGAAGATAATACTCTTAGGATGAGATAAGTAAATGAGAAATCATATTATGTGTTGCAGGTACTCAGTATCTCCTCAAACCCCTTCTGAAGCTCAATTTGATGGTACTTTTTGCTTCTTTGATTAATAACAAAAAGAGCTAATTTTATCTAACATTTACCACGTGCCAGATACTATCATAACTATTGTAACATCTGCCAACACATTTAGTCCTCAGAACACAATAAGGTAGATATTGTTACTCTCCACCTTTTTCCAGGTGAGGCACAGAAGGGTTAAGCAACCTGCCCCAAGTGCCCCCACTCTGAACCTCACAGAAAATTTGAACCTAGGAAGCCTGGCTCCAAAGTCTGTACATTTAGTCACTACTCTATGATGTCCGTCTCAATCAGTGAATACAGCCATGCTAATGTTATAAACTAACCACAGATTGATTCTGCCAAGCCACTGATTTTAGATGGTCTAAATAAATTAAATCCTGGTAATTAAATATGGGCGTGACTGGAAAAAGAAATTAGAGGAAACAAATGGCTAAAGGGCAAGATTAAGGCATAATGGGCCATGACTCATTCATTCAACAGCTCACTGAATGCCATCATAGGACAGGTACTAATCTAAACACCAAGAATGTTCAGTCAAGAAGAAAGACTAGTCTCTGCTCAGAAGAGCTGAAAATGTGTAAATAAGCACCAGGTAGTGATGAGTACCACAGATCGGGAGGTCTACAAATGCCTCTCTGGGGAGGGACTATGTAAGCGAAGCTGTGAAGGACAAGAAGCCCACCCTGTGAAGATTAGGGGGAAGTGCATTCCAGGAGAAGAGACAGCTAGAGCAAAGTCCCAAGGTAGCAGCAGCCTAATCAGGTTTATGAAATGGAAAGAAACCAACGTGGCAGGAGTAGAGCGAGCTAGGAGATAGCTGGCAGCAGAGAGGAAATGTAGGCTGGGGTAGACAAGCAAAGCTCTCAGCCTGAACGGATTCTATTTGGACTGCAGCAGATGGTAAGGGTATAAAGCAGGAGGCTGGAAAGATCTGATTTACATCTTTTAAGATCCCTCAGTTGCTTTGTGGAAGCAGACCATAGCAGGCAATGGTGGAAGCAGGGAGACCGGTAGTCCCGGTGGAAGATGCAGAGGGTGATCAGGGCGGTTGATACTCGAAGGGACAGAGAGCAGTGGACTGTTTCAGGCTTGTTGCTACTGATGCTGACCCTTCCACAGACCACCTTAGCAGATAATGGGTTTTCTCTCCTTGAGATGAAAGTTTGAGACCTGAAACACTGCCTGATTTAGAGTCACTGTCTTTTTTTTTTTTTTAAGATTTTATTTATTTATTTGACAGACAGAGATCACAAGTAGGCAGAGAGGCAGGCAGAGAGAGAGGAGGAAGCAGGCTCCCCGCTGAGCAGAGAGCCCGATGTGGGGCTCGATCCCAGGACTCTGGGATCATGACCTGAGCCGAAGGCAGAGGCTTTAACCCACTGAGCCACCCAGGTGCCCCTAGAGTCACTGTCTTAAGACTTGGCAGCAGCTGGAAATAAGCTAGTATTTGGCAAGAGAAAGAGGAGCTTAGTTTTAGGGCAGACTGAATCCTTTTAAAAAGAGCTGAAGGGAAGACTCATCAGGGACAAGGGTAGAACATGGATATTTCTCTGAAGTGTATGATTCTCAATTTGCCAGTGTGGAGCTGACACGGGCGCAGAGTCACTAATTCCAGAACATCTGACGGGGAGGGATCCCAGAGGTCATTTAGTGCAAACCAGCACTTACTAGTTTTGGGTGAACTTGAACAAGGAACTTATGACTTCTCCGAATTTGCTTTCTGGATTTGTAAAATTGCAATAATGTAACTAGTTACTGTATAGGGTTGTTGTGATACTGTATAGGGTTGTTGTGATAGTGTATAGGGTTGTTGTGATACTGTATAGGGTTGTTGTGAGGATGGAAGGGCATGGTATGTGTTAGAGGGCCCACCACAGTGCCTGGGTTACTTATTTTCTCCCATAAATGACCTATGACTTTCCTGTCTTTTTCTTATCTGAGGCCCTTCAGTTAAGATTTCTGAGTCACACAGTAATGTGGATAAAGAACAGACTAAAATTTCAGGATCCCTAAAATTCCATTCTTTTCTCTAGTTCACCTGTCCTTTGTGGAGGGGCTGGGGTTAGAATTTGGGGAATTGGTTTAGATCTGCTGTCCTCCCCGCCAGTGTGAACAATGCACTCGACCAGCCTGGCCTGCCTCATCTGCTCCCAATGTCACGCTCATTCCCATCTGTGCTCCTGTCATTCTGTCGTTCTCTTGCCTGGCATGCCTTCTCTTCCTCCACTGAGACATTCTCTCAGAGTCTAGCCCAAGGTCAGTTCAGTCATTCCTAAAAACTGGGAAGCTTCATTGATTTCTTCCTCCTTTGAAATTCTGCAAAATTAGAATCTGTATTTTGTCTCTGAGCCCTTAATTATATACTCTTCATCATTTGTTGTTGCTATGTGCCTTGTCTTATCAGGCCCATCAGAATGTAAGCTCCTTGAGGAACATTTTACCTTTTGTCTGCATCCTCAAGAGAATGTGGCAGAGATGAGTACACAATCAATGGGCAAAAATACTTGGGGATCTATTGGCTGGAACTTGAAGAATCTTCTTTCCACAGAGACTTCAGTAAAAGGCTAACTAAAATAACCTGAGCATTAAGGACAGTTAAAAGACACTGGTGGGCTCCATTGCCAACCCCTATCCTTGGAAGTCAAAGGCATTACCGAAAGAGCACGTGTGTGGGAACGGTGCCAGAGAAAATCTGATACCTAAGGATATATTTTTGTTATTTAGATAACTGTCTGAACTCTTCCCTCACAAGGTGGTGCTTTTTACTAATGTTACAAAAGGCAGGTACCATCATGGAAAAAGTTAGCTTTTCTTGGTTCATCACTTTGGCTCCTTTACTGCTACTTCTGACAGAGCTACCTATTTATCCATTATTAGCAGAGCCTGGATGACTGAGGTGACTCATAGGTGACTCCCTCTCCTATGTGACACCATCTTACTATCTCCTCCGTCAAAAATTACCTACCAACGTAGTAATGGATGTGTAATACTGTAATTTATAAGACACATGTATCAGAAAATCAAATATATTTCTCATATACATTTGGTCAAGGTCCACAGTTCCTGACTCAGTTCCAAATACCTGAAATTTCCTAGATAAAGGCATCTTTTGTTGTAATAATTAAGGTGACTTTTAGACCCCACCCAAGGGCAGAGGTTGGTTGTCAGAAGGACGAACCATGGGATTAGAGGGTACCCCAACTCTCCAGGGGAAAGGACTGGAGTTTGAATCAAACAATGCCCAATATTTTAGTCAAACATGACTGCAATGAAACCTCTGTAAAAACCCAAGAGGATGGGGTTCGGAGAATTTCTGGGTTGGTGAACACGCTGAGCTGCAGGGAGAGTAGTGCGTCCCTGGAAAGGTGCCCCATGAAAGCTCTATGCCCTTTTTCCAAACCTTGCCCTATGTATCTTTCCATGTGGCTGTTGATTTGTAGCTTTTATCATAGTCTTTAGCAAACTGGTAAACCTAAGTGTTTTCCTGAGTTCTGTGAGCTGCTCTAGCAAATGAAAAGAACCTAGGGAAGAGGTTACTGGAACCTCCAATCTGCAGCTGATGGGTCAGAAGCACAAGTAACAGCCTGGGGCTTGTGACTAGTGTCTACGTGGGGGGTGAGGGGCAGTCTTCCAGGCCTGCTTAACCTGTGGAATGCGATACTATCACTGGGCAGAGTAGATCGGGTCAGAATTGAGCTGAATTCTCATACACTCTGTTGGTGTCAGAGAATTGCTTGGTGTTATGGGGCTCGGGGGGGTGAGGGACTCCTCCCACTCCTAGACTGCAATTGGGTCCGAGATTCCAAAAAGAGGTCATATAATGCCACCTCTGTGAGGACTCCTATTAATCTAGGTGTTTTCATTACTTTTGAATCAGTAAGACTGCCTCTCATGAAGTTCCTTCAGCACTCTACAGGAATGAGTACAGTAATCATCAATGTCTTTGGTCACCAGTTCAATTAATCTTTAAGAGTTTTCAAATGACAGGCATGCCAGTCTGCCTCTGTCTGTCTGTCAGGCTTTGTCATCTATTTGTATAATTCCCCACCTTCTGCTCCATTAAGGTCTTTCATTATAAAAACAATACATGCCACAAAAGGCAAGGGCTTGAACACTCTGGTAAATTAGATTTAGATCCTGCGCAACAAGCTCTCATCAGAGATACGCTGATGCTAGAGAGCGACATCCTTCAGAAGCAAAGTGTGAGAATCTAGGCGGCATGAGATCCAGGCTGTCACTGATCTGTGACAAGAGACAGGACTCCGACAGATCTGTGATTTCCCCTTCCCTAAAGTAAAGACAAGAAAAACCTTATCCTCTTTGTGTCCCTTTTATTTTAAGATCCCACCCTGAAGTAAGAAACAAGTGTCTATGAAGCCAGGGAAGTGATTTAGGTAAACACATGCCATTCTCATTACCATCACTGCTGAGTAATTCTATGCTACGGCCTGGTGACTTTAGGGAAATATTTATAAGAAGGAGTCTCAGAGAAAAAATAAACAAAGAGTAGAGGGAGATGGATGGGAAGGGTTAGGAGAGGCAGAAAAAATGTATATATAAGAACGCAGTAAAGAGGCCCTAAGATCAGCTCACGTGGAAAAGAGTGTCCGTGGGCCCAGTTTCTAAGTATGGCCTCAAGTGCAAATGGGCTTACCGTCCTCGATGTCATAGGCATAGGCAGAGAGGCGCAGGGTGGTGGCGCAGTACTCGCATTTGAAGCAGCTCCGATGGAAGAACTTGCCCTCAGCACTCAGCCTCTCCATCACGTAGACCCGCTTCCGGCAGAAATAGCAAGTGTCACTGCCTCCCAAGTTCTGTGGGAACTCCTTCTTTATCGAGCCCTGTAATGGGGGGCGGTGGGAGGCATGTCAGGGCAACACTTCTCAGGCTCACCTCCAGGAGGTGCATGACTTCTCCATATGTGAAACCAACCCTCACTGTGCAACTGTGCTTTGAAACAGACTAAGCTGGCTCCCTCTGCTACTGGCTCTCCCACAACACAGCAGAACTATGGCAGTGACTGTCACACGTGCCTTCTATGCAGCAAGCTGCAGAAGGCAGACTCTGACTCGATGTTAACCAACAGTCCAGAGGGAACCCCAGTTGGTTATACAGAACTGCACAACAATCAAACCAAATTATTTTGACAGAACTCTGTTTTGAAGGTAGCATAAAAATACCTCTTCAGTGTTCACATGGTTCTACAGCAATCTGGGTCCCCTGGACCTAGAGCAATCACTTTTAGAGATACTAATTAAGTACGTTTTTCCACACGACATTCTAAACAACCACTCAGTCATAGAAATTTAGTTACAAAATTCCGACAACCTTAAAAAAAAAAAATTACAACATGGCAGATAATGGCTAGAATGTTACTAAGCTACTTAGAATTAACCAGGTTTATTTGCCACAGCTGTGCTATATCTAGACAGACAGTGCCCTTAATACATCTCTTACCAGTTCCTTCTTGTCTAGAAGGGTTTTGGGCTGTTCTTTCCTTTGAAGCTGATTGGCTATCTGCTCAGCCAATGAGCTCACTCCGCCCGTGTACATCTTTATATACTTCTATTGGTTGGAGATTATAAAATGACCAGAATGAAGGGAAATGAGAAGGAAAAAAATAAATAAATTAAGAAGACAGGGAAAAAAAATCTTTGAAAGGTATAAAATGAATACAAGGTGCAGCAGCAAACCATGCCAACACAGTGCCCACAAGCAGGGAAACTCGGTGATAAGAAAAACGGGTGTCCTTGTCCACACAGATGTATCAGCATTGGTAAGAATAATGGCTGCAGGAATAATTAAATTCAATAAGGGAGAATATAGTCTTTCATGTCTTTTCAGAATATATAGTTCAGGGAGGTGGGAAGACAGGAAGAAAACAAATATAGAATGGAATAAGAAGGGCCCATATCCTAGTGACTCAAATTACATATAAAGAATGCAAGAGGAACAACTCCTACCAAGACGGCAGATGTCCAGATGAACAGCATGTTTCAAGCTGGGTCTGGGGAGGGCTTGGGAAGTTATTTCCTCATTTAGAAAGAAACCAAGCTCACTCTTGCAAGGCTGACTCTCCACTTGGGTAAAAGATGCCAACAGCCTAGTATTATTAGTGATGATCACCTTCCTTCTATTACTGTTACGCTCATAACCTGTCACATACATCAAATATTCCTGAAATTCATCTGTAGAATCCTTCTTGGCCCATTCTCCCTGTTGACACATATGTGTTCTATCCGGGCACTACAGCTAAAACCTTCTAGACAGGGCTGGGCTTCTTAAACTCGGCTTCAGGAAGCTAACACGCGCAGCCATGCAGACAAGTGGCTCGGTATAGTTTTGGGAAATCAGAATGCATTTTAGTCCAAGAGGGATTATTTTTTCATAGGTTGAAAAAAAGAGAAAAGAAAAAATCCAACCAATTCAGTCCTCTTCGTAGCAATGTGGAAGAAGTAATAAGAACCTACCAAATTTCGATTGTAAGCCTTCCTGCTAGGCAGCCTCGCTTTGAGCCTGTCCCAAGGGAATGAGGTCAAAGCCTTGCCGGCCATCCTTTGCAGACTCCACAGTCACCCTCCCACGTGGAGATGGTCAGGACACCCCGTGTGTGCGATACTCCCTCTCGTAAATTATGTGCAATAGGACAGCTGGCAGCCGGGTTTGAGGAGTCCTCTCATTCTGACTGAGAAACACACCAGGTCCATTGTCTTGGGGATGTCCACAACCCCATTAGGAAGTGGTGTGAATAGACAATACACACCAACCCGTATGTACGAGAACTGCTAGCTTGAGCAACGGCATGGCCTGGGCTGGGCAGGGACAAATAAGAGAAGTGCTCTGGGGGAAAACTAACTCCGTGTGAACTCTACGAGAATAACAAGCCCAAATGAGCAAACAATTCTCCAAGGTTCTGCTGGAACTGAGGAGTCAATTCTGTTTTTCAATTTAAAATAAGGAGGTTTCCAAGGACTGGTGCCACTTGCTCATTAACTCCACAGCTTATACCGATTAGTAGTCGAGAAAAACAAGTGGCTCTAAAATCTAAACCTTCTTTTGCTGAGAGCTATCAGGGAAGCTCGTGCCTGGAACGGACTGGCACCAGGCAGAGCAGAGCAGATCGTCTAACAGCTGACACTGAGGGTGCGGGAAATTGCACTTCATTCTGCAGAAAGTAAGTGAGAGCACAGACCAGATGTCACACACGAGGCTGGAACGCTAAGCAAGCCCAGGGTCCTCACTGTTCAGCCAGGACCCTTTCCTCCCACCAGGAACCGGCATATTCAGCAAATACAGCCCAGGGCTGCCCACGTACAAAGGCACTGGTCACTTTCAGTTCTCAGCGATGTGGTAATATTGACAAGCATCCCCCCAAAAGAGGTGGAGGCTCGAGTCTATTTTTTCTGGCATGAAAAGCAGATGGTTTCCTTTTCCCCTCTCTTAAGAAATAGATTAACTGTAGCAATTGTTGGACTTACACTTTTGCCACCACACATGCATATGCTTCCGCACACGTACTGCATAGACTGCTTGAGAACAGGAAACATAAACAGAAAGGGCAAAAAGACCCGCCAATTGCTCTCTAAACTACTCTATAGCTGGATCAGTTCCATTGTAGAAAATAGCAGGGCTCATTCTTCAAATGATTATAATTCAAGAGGCACCCACAATACTGCATAATCACCACTCCATGGAAGAGATTTAATTACACTATGGCTCATATTTTGTCATACATATTAATATGAGGACACCTGGAATTTAAAAAGCTAATGGCTAAAAAATATTTATTTTAATTTGATATAGCTGAAATATTATAAAAGAGGGTTTATTTGACAGAAGTTGATGCAATGAAAGCTGGCATCCTCTGTAACTTTGGTGTATGCCTACAGACCTCACATGCAAAACAGACAGACGGAAACACACACACACACACACACACACACACACGGATTCCCACAGAAGACAGGCCAAAGTTAATAGCACTGCAACCTCATTGGGCTACACAACATTTGTGTAGGTGAACTGAGGAGAGGCTGAAGAGGAAAGAGCATTGCCAAGTTCCAGGCTGTGCTACCTGTCGGAGGGAGTCAGAGGAGGGAGAGGCGGGGCGGTTGGAGGAGCGGAGACTAACAGAAAGCTCCCACTGGTCAACAAAAAATCGACGAGAAGGTTCAGGCTCTGGCTACAAAATACAAGATGGAGAAAAAAAAAATCAAAGGAAATATTAAATAAAAAGTTACATACTGACCTGAGTGTATGGAATTTGGGAGTTTTAGACCTTTCTCTAAATAGTAAATGAAGTAAAGAAATATTCTTAGTTCCCAAAAGCATTAATGGCTCATTCAAGCCTTCCATTCTGCTTTTAACTCACCCTTGCCTCGTGCTTACAGTGAAGCTCGCTCTGAAACACGGTCACTGTAGTTGTGAGCTTCCTCTGAAAGCCTTGTCTTCTCCTGTTTGGTGGTTTTTACTCAATCCACCCCAAGTGGAAAACACTACCAGCCAGGAGGCGGCAGAGGGCAAAGGTGGTGTCCTGCTCACACACACACTCTTTATGCTCTGCAGGGCCCCTCACTGGCGTGAGCTGGGACCTCTCCTGGGCAGGAGATTCTACCATCTTATAAACAGTGAACAGAGATAGCAAATCTCGAGTGAAGCTGACTCCTTCTCCATAAAGGCCAGAAAGGTGGCTTTGCCTCTTCCTATTGCCAGTGCTCAGAGAAACTCTGCCTGCCAAGGAGCCAGCCAAATCCCAGCAGTGATCAGGAGAAAAGATCCCAAGTTTCCTGCAGACTGCATGCAGCATGTGTAACAAAGTAAGCCACGATCCTCCATGGCCCATGCAGCCAAGAGCCATCCAGTCGCCAGAAGAGGAAGAAGAGGGCTAAAAGCTCTGGCAAGTGATAACTGCTTAGTTTCCTACCAGGTTCAGGGTGAAGTACGTGCAGGGTAGAGGAAAGAGGTACTATCATGGTAAGAGAAGCCAGCCCTCTGCCCTCTAGCTCCAAGCAGATCCACGGCACCCCCAGTTCAGTGTTCCCCACTAACTTCATAGCTTGAACGGGTAGCAACATAGCGTGTAACCACCCCTGCTCCAGACGCTCAGCCAGCTCACTGGCCCTCCGCTCAACATGCAAGGCAGGCTCAGAAACACAGACCCAAGGCAGGGGTTGGGGGGGGCGATCTCTGTAGAAGAGCACCACCCACCACAGAGAAACAAGACAGAAGGCTGCTCCCCCAGAGAAGGCAAAGCAGTGAAGCTGGTGAGAAGACCGGGGCGGGAGGGTGAGGGAGCAGGTGAGTGCACAGGCAAGATTTTGAAACAGTGGAAAGAAAATCCTGGAAGAGAACATAAATGTAACCCTTAAAGGTATCTAGACAGGAACCCTGCAGTGAAGAATCCGGAAATCAGCTCATTGGGAAAATGCTACCTTTCCTTATTGCAGCCCCAGACGTCTGATAGCTTCTCCCTGCCCATCTCTCCTTTTCCTTGACACACTTCCCTCTGTTCTTCTTCGCTTAGGCTCTGTTTCATGAAAAATCATCAGGACCTCATTTAAGTATGAATTCCCTGAAATGTAGGGCTTGCCGGTCTCCAGGAAATGCTTACTTTTCTTTTTGAGAGGAATACAGCCTAGGAAGAAGAAAGAAAGAGGCCGGGCGCACACAGTGCTTGTGGAAGGAAGCAGCCCCAGCAGAAGAGAAGGAGGCAGAGCAAGGCTGTGTGTGAGGAGGTGAAAGGAATGTCCTCTTTCCACCTCCACCCCGGACTCTTCTCCCACACCCAGCACCAATCCCTGTGTGGTCCTGACAACACACAGCCTACCTGCTTCTCGCGTGGTGACAGGGCCTAAGGAGACAGCACTAGCTTCCTTAGCTGTGACTCTATTTCTCAGAGAGCAAAAGCAGAAAGAGAGGTAAAAATAAAAGAAAAAGGCCCATGCGAAATTAAAAGATGATTCTTCACTCTTGCTGTAGAGCTATACCAACTCAGGGACTGGGTTTAAGGGTAACAATAACAACCCCAAAAGCTTCATAAAATAAGCAGGCTTTTTAAAAGGGGCATCTCTGCTATTTGTCAAATGATACGATGTCCAGGTGTCATCAGTAATTGCCCCTTCAGTTTTTCAGAAAAGAGTAGCTGAAGCTTTTCACTACGTACCCCCATCTCGTCACCGCCTTCCTTCCTCTCCACCCTCTTCATACTTACAAAATCCCCACACCAGTAAGAGCTTTGGCTCTCTCAGTATTTCTACCTCTAGACCCCTGAATGTCAAAAGATAGAAGCAAATGCCACCTGCTTATTGATCTGAATACTGGGCAGATGAATGCTCTCCTGTGAATGCTATTTACACAGGTCAATGCAGTTAGCAACAAGAATTCTTGCTCTTGGCTGGGTGACAAGAGTGTGCAGAAAGCAAGGGGAGCAGAGACCATCCCCACCTTCCCTCTGCCCGCCCCCCACCACAGCGTGCCCCATCTGTTTGGCCCTCAGCATCCCATGCCATGGTTCATGCTCTTTTACCCTCTCCTGATGGGGACTCTGCTTGCCACGGCTGTCAGCATCAAGATCCCTGTATGTCTGTTGGCAACAAAGTAGAAACTTAAGCTCCATCCACATGTTCTATGTGGACCTACTAAGTGACAGTGCCAGAAATTCAGAATTCATTTCAACATATATTCCCTGCCCCTGACATATCCCCACCCCAGGTAACCACAATCCCGTCTATATCAAATCCCATGACCCTAGGACAACTCCTTGTCCAGCACCCTATCCATCTGGCCTCCAGTGAAGTCAGCCACAGATATAAAGAACTATGGTTAGTACCAAAGTGGAACAAATGTTATTTCTTTCACACAGTGGCACAAGATCAGAGGCATTAAATGGAAGGCTTAATAGGAGAGGCTGGTTAGGAGGGTGAAGTTTTCCACAACAAGACATTAGAAAGGAAAGGTGGGGAGATGGAAACTGGCTGGAACAAATGGCCATTACAACAGTCCAGAGGAAACTCCAGGGTGGGGAGTGGTCCCTGAATAGGAATACGGGACCAGAGCATTATTTGTTAAAGGGAGACACGGACAATGACTGGAAGCATTTTCAGTCAACAGACAGGAATATGTATGTGACAGGGATGGAAATCCGGAAGACAGGCATATGGCTGCTACCACCGACCTGAGGAAACCACTATCAGCAATCACACAGGGAAAGGAAAGGCTACTCTTATCACTCTTTGGATTGCTTCTGAGGATTCAGCTTATGGCCGTGTACTGGTGGAAAAACTAATCCAAAGCTGGTAATGGGGCCCATGAGCACATTGTCTCCACAGGCAGGATGAGGCCAGAGCTTGGGCTCAAGTCACACCCCAGATTCAACTCCTGGCTCCATTACTTACTGTGCGACCTTGTACCAAGTGCTTTGGCCTCCCTATCCTATGCCTCAGTCTCCTCATCTGTAAAATGGAGGTGATAATAGTACCTGCCTTGTAGGGTTACTGTAAGGAATTGGATGAGATAACACAGGAAGAGATGGGAATACCACCTGGATCTAAGTGTTAGTTCTTATGTAGAGATAAGGCATAGCATAACTGCTAAACCTACAGTGGCTCAGTTCTTAGACCCAGGAACACAGTGTGGGTCTTTTCAGATACATTACTAGGGGTCACCTTTTAAATAAGCCACCTTAGTTGAGAAAATGTCTTTCCATAGCTCCTGCTTTTAAAATTAGTATTTTATTTTATATGGATATCCTACAAAGGTCAATATATATTCTATAAATGTACTTTATATAAGTATCCTTGTTGTCCCCTTTAATCATGTCTGTGGTTAACTGCTCTGAAAGCATTTTTTAAGTGAACTTCCTGGAGTGTGAGTAGGGTAGACAGGAAGGGCAGGTGTTTGCTAGCACAAGTTGGATAAGCAAGAAGCAGGGCTCTCAAAATTGGAAAGAACAAAACTCATAAAGCGAGGCCCCATAAAAGCCTTCCAAAAGCCCATCTAAATATACCTCCTTGGGTAGCAAGACAAAAGTGGCTGCTTTAAATGAGGTTACATAAAAATGTGCTGCTCTTCAGGGCTCTTGGAGTTTGCATCTGCGACAAATATAGTTTTAGTCTGTGCTTGCATAGTTGTTTTCCTATGATGTGGGACTAGATTCAACCAGCCAGGGTTTGAATGTATTATGTGCCATCCTGGGGCCTGATCTGGAATTGCTCATTTGTAGTAATAAGGTTGCTTCTGCTACAAATGCTCTTTTTGTTTTTTAATTGTTAGTTCTGAAAAGAGGGAATCCTCCACCCTAGCCACCTACACAGGCAGGCAGGCAGGAAGAAAGAGACGAGGACCACCGAGCATGCAGAGAGGATCACCTGCTGGCTGCCACGCGCCCGACAGGGAGGTGGAGTAGGGGGAGGAGAGAGCGTGATCACTTTTTTGGGGCAGGTCCGAGAACGCTCCTTTTCCCGTCGCTTTTACACCAACAGACACAAATAGAGAGAACATTGGTGAAACAGGGGCCACGTTTAGGCTGGTTCTGGAAGGATTAAGAGTATTTACCAAAGACATCCCTCCCGTGCCTCTCTGTCCTCCATGACAATCGCTGTGTGGTCAGGGAAGATGGCTGGTCACAGTCAGCGACTGGCCTCCAGGCCATACTTGCGCTGTCTGATAAGTGCAGACCACATGGGTCATCTCTGCAGCTGGTCTTGGGACAGAACTTGCATGTAACACTTTCTAAACGCCAGGGATCAAGGATATATCCTTTGTTGGTTTTATGAGGGAAGTTGAGGATAGAAGAAATGAGCTTGGATGTAGGTAGAGAGAAAGGGCACACAGGCCGACCATCACGAGGGGAGTATGGAGACCAGCCCCCGAGGGCTCAGTCACCTGTACACCCACCAGCAGCAAAGCAGCCTGCTCCCTGAGTGCCAACCGAGACAACACCCTGCCATGGCTTCCCTCTCCTCAGCCTCTGGAGTGTACTTAAAAGGTTCTGGAAAACCACCAGGGAGACAGATAAAGTACAGGAAACAGAATATAAGAAAATAAGTACATCTGTCACTAACCGAATACCATATATATCCATGGATTATTTCCCCATTCTCCCCCTCTCCATTGTATTCCCTTCCTGTACATCTGTGACTTACAGAACTTTTTGGTGCTTAAGAAACAGTTACTTATTTCCAGACCAGAGGAATCCTCCATTTCCTCATGCCCACAATGACCGCGTGGGGCAGCACACAGGGGGAGCCCAGGAGGGAGAAGAAGGTGTGGAGCTTGTAGGGCCTGGGGAAACAGCCCCCCCACCCCCCGGTTTGTTCCCACCTCTCACGACAATTTACTTCCAAACCAAGACTGGTTAATATGCAGAGTTTACCTGCTGGACCCATTTCTGAGATCAAATGGCAGAGGGGTGGGGGAGGGAAGAGCCAAGGAAGAACCTTCCTTTACATAGGAAGGTAAAAAAGAGAAGCCACTGGCAAGCCAACTATTATTCATTTTCCCTCTTCCATCCATGACCGAAGTTAAAACTGATCCTCATGCCACCTCAGCCACCAGTGATTGCTTTGCCACACCCTCCTGCCTCAAGTCAAACCTCTTCAAGAGAAACAGAAAGTGAGTCACTGTAAGGTCTGGCTGGTAAGCCCCTCATTCCTAAAGAGAGCTAATGAAGGCCATCATCAGGATGAGTCAGAAGCAGAGGGCCACTGGAGCACACCACCGGAGTTCCTCTGTTCCCATGTTTCTGGAGCACCAGCATGTTCCTGTTCTCTTAGGAGATAAACTGACAGGGCCAAGACTCATAATGCCACCCCTGATTTAGTATTGAGGAAAAATTACATGTAACTGTGAGTTACAGTTCTTTCACAACGAAGTAAATTTACAATTTCCAACTCTATCCAGCAACGATCTAATAGGATTTTCATGGCTCATCGTTTTTCACTTACCAAGATCTACCCAGATACTCCTTCCAACTGTAATCTCTGGTGCCCACTCCACAGAAGCCAGGTTTGACTTCAAGGGCTCTATTCTGCTGCCTGTAGAGCCTAGCAATATTTTACTTCATAAATTACCCAGATGACAACCTAGCTTTTATGTCTCCATGTAGCACCGTGCACAAGGTCAGAGGCCATCAGATACTTCATAAACAGGGGAAACACAAGCAGGCCCACCAACACCAAGCTCCTGATGCCCCTTCAGTACAGCTCCATCAGGTGATGAGCTGACATGCCACTCTTTGCCAGGACAGAGGCTTGGCTGAGCCAGGCTCCTCGGTCACACTTACTACCCTCGAGACTTCCCAGCAAGCCAACCCAAAGCTGCTCTGGGCATGTGATATTTAAAGTCATCTGTTCATCCACTACACGTGTTAAAACTAACTTCCCTTCCCCTTTATTCTTCCTATGTCAGGTGACCTTGATGAATACTGTCAGAATCTAGAGTTTGGGTGTATCTAGAGTTCACTTTCTCCTTCAGCAGATCCTCAACTAAAAATTACCTTTCAAATCATACATTCCACCTAGACTTCAAGGCAAAGGGTAAGAAAATAAAACGGATTTTCCAATGAGTTTTGTTTGTTTTCCAGAAGACGTCCTCCAAATACAGAGGAAGAAGCATCTTGGCTTCTGTTGTGAGTGTGAACATCTCTCCCCAGCTTCCATCTCAGCATCCTGGAGCTTGCCTTTAATGTGGCATATTATTTAAAAGAGGTTAGAAAGGAACTTTTGCCCTGAATGTAATTCAAATAAAATCCACTTGCCACTCCCTAGCACCTCCCAGCAACAGCTGGCACTCTATAGCACAAGAAGAAATCAAGGGTCAGCTCACCTGACCTCTCAGAATCTTAGTCCTAGATGATACCAAACCACAAGACAGAGAATCCAGGCTACACTTACTAGAGCAGGACCTTGCTCAACTGTGACTTGGGAGAAAATACAGTAGAGGCCCCAATGCTACCGAAGGGTTTCCTATTATCAACCAGCTGACATCCCTCCACTCACTTCTTCTGTCCTATCCAATACTGCTTAGACGCAGCCTTCTAGGAGATCTTGTAAAAACTTAACTGAAAATTTTCAAGGTGTATGTTAAATGGAGACAAAACGCCAAGAAAATGCCCATGATCATCTCTGTTGAGGGTCTGAAACAAATAAAAATCATAGTTCAAGATATTTCTTGGCTAACATTTCCCTATTTAACATGAAAGGCTCCACTGTCCCAATTCTCAGCCTTGCTGAGTTCAGGATTCTCCCTCCATTAGTTACAAGGACATATGTAAGCAAAAAGTCAACTTGGGTCAAAGGTTACAGTGGTAAAGCAGAGAAGCTAAGGTACCTGGAACAACTTCCCACAGAGCTTCAGCTAGTTTCAACACCAAATTACCACCCACTCTTTTAACTAATTTTTCAAATCCCAAGGAGTTAAACAAATCATGCAATACAATCAGCACAGTCTGTTAAACTGTTCCCCAAAGCTGCTACTCAAATGAGTACAAAAGCTTCCTGTCCTTGGGAGCCAGGATTCTAAAGTGTAGGCCTCAGCCCTGGCTGGCTCTGAGGGATGAGCAGGTTGGGAAGGCCCAGGGAAGCAGCACCCATTTTGGCCCCTGGACAGCTCCTTTACCTGTTTCCACTGGGGGGTGGGAGCAGGGCGACCCTGCTCAGGTAGGCAGCAGGACGGCTGGCTGACCCCACGCTCTTGTGTCGGCTGTGACACACAGGCCAAGTATGGGTGGGGGACAGGACATGGAGACAAAACAAAATAAAATACATTAAGGTAGGAGAAGACACAAAAAAGATAACGGTGGACAGGCACACATCTATGAGCGGGGAGTGGGAACAGACACAGAATTAATTCTTAGAAAGTTACATTTACAAAGGAAACAAAATACCCCACCCCACAAACCAAAAGCAAATGCAAAAGGAAAAAAACGAAATCAGAAGCTGTAATTTTCACTCTCCTCTTCCCTAGCTCAAAGCTCTGAACCTAAACTACTAATTCTGGTTTGGAAAACTAAACTTTCTACTCAAAATGAGGAACACAACCTTCTCTTAGGGGCAAACTTCCTCCCAAGGAGAGCTTTCCAGACCTCCTGAGATGGGGCAGATCCCACAGTTGCCAGAGCTGCCAGGCAACCTCAGACGTCTACCAATGAACAGTATTATTCCTCTCTATGAGCCACAATACATATGACTGGAGTATAAAAATTAATAACCAAAGGCTAAATGTGAGAAGAAGTTAATTCTGGCCAGACTCCAAGCAAAGTCAGTACCCCCTCACCCCTGGTCCTTAGAACAATGGCTGATATGTATGGAAAAAGCTGAATAAAGAGAGTAAAAGAATAAAAAGCATGGGCTCCCTTTCCTTTGGATGTTCTCTCAGGTCACTGGGAGCTCTGTAAGAAACTTCCTGCGCTTATCTCCAAATCCTAGCACCTCCTCTTATAAGAAGTCTTAGTGACTTTCAAATAAGCAAGAGGGGAGGGAAGACCTAACAAAGACATCTCAAGTCAAATGCTTCTGTTTAGCACTCTCAAGTTAGTACCCATGATGACTCTTTAAAATGTTCATAATTCCTGACCTAGTTCAAGGATAGCCTACGAAAACCATCCACAATACACAAAAGAAGATTTCTCACAAGAACATTTTTTATCTTTATACTTCATCATGAAAGATGAACAACATCAAAAACATCCAACACCAGAGGAAGAGTTAAGAAAAGCACGGACACACATGTATTGGAAGATGCTTGTAGAGTTTGGAACAACATGGCAATATGCCCAAAGTTATGTGAACAAAGCAGAACAGAAAGTGTATCTTCCAAATGACCTCAACTATAAAAACAGAAATGCACTGAAAACAGACGAGAAAGAAATATAAAAAAATGTTAACAGAATTAGAGGTGTTTTGATTACCTTTATTATTCTCTCCAGCATTTTCCTCAATAAGCATCTATCTCTTTAATAATTCAAATTGTGCACATATGTGAGCATATAAATATGTATAGATATTTATAAAACTTCAAATCCCTCTTCTGAATTTTTGCCACAGACACCTCAGACATGAATGGTGAGGAGAAAGCAGTGCTGAAAGCATGGGAGGAGCTTATCAAAAGCTTTTCTCGGCCACAGTCAGACAAGGAGAAAACCAGACACAGTCATGAGGGTGTGAGTGCTCGGCTGAGACACACCCTGTCCCACTTCATTTGACTGAGAAGATCCCTCCTTCTTATATGGCCAGACCAAGCATGGATGGGTGAGATACGAAGTGGGGCTTACCTGTCTCCTCATGCCAGTGGACTGTGGGGGTGCATTCTCTTCAAATTTGGCCAACAATTGGGTCGCCATGTACTTCACTTTGTTCTGATTGCCAAGGGCCACATCCATCCTCCTGTCTGTTAGGGTGCTCACCAGTGTGGGCCTTCCTCCTCTGTGACCACGGGGCACATCCTCCTGACAAACACCAACACCCAAGAATCGGCCTTGGTTAGAGAAGTCCCCCACAGATGCCCTTCCCTCAAAGGAGTGCAGCCAGTGCCTGGCATGGCAGCTGCTCTTTTTGCTTTAGGTTAAGCTTAACAGCTCTCTTCAAGGTTCTAAACTCCAGAGGCAGTCAGCAAGACTTTGGTGCATGGGGCAGTATAAAGAGGTACCTGGACTTGGGCTGGTGTTGTCCTATCTCAAGAAAGCCATTGCTCCCGGCAAAATGTAAAATTCTGAAGAGAGAGGAAAGCACTAGTGCACACACGCGTGTGTATGCTTCCTTAGATGCTCTCCAAAACACTGTACAAAGGCAAAAGCCTACTGAAAAAGCAGCTGCTCACAGAAATTCTCATAAAAATGAATATGAAAAGATCTAGCAATATCAATTTGGAAATTAATTTCAGCCCCAATGGGCAATTGAGAATGACCATTCTAGCAAATCCCAGCTAAATCTTACCTCTTCCGACTGACTGGTCTTTCTCCTCTTTCCAGCACCATCCAAGTCCTTTTCCTTTTTATCCTATATCAAGAGAGGAGGGAGACTGCATTATCCTAGTCACCATACCTCACCTGTAGGTTTGTAGCAGGTCAAAAACCTCCTCTATTTACCTTGGGAGAACGCTTCCGAGAGATGGTCTGCCCAAGTTTGCTGAGGAAGGAGATGGGGGATTTGGTGCTGGCTATAAGAACTGCTTTCTCCTCGGCATTCAGGTCCAGGGCATCTGTGAACAGGAAGCAATGTTGAGCACAGCCCTGGAGGGGGCTTCAAAGTACTGACAGAACTACACTCCTTGCAGGTGGCTCACAGAACCCCAGAAAACTTTAAAGGTTCATCTGCTCTGACAAAAGCAAGAGGAACTCAGTGGAAAATTCAATAAAGAAATGCACACTATGGTCTGGATGTTGAGCTTTCTTTTCCATCCATGTTAACAGAACAAACTCTTCTTTCAAATCCATTGCAGTCACAAAACCCTCCACTTTTCGCTTTTCAAACATTGGAATCTGCCTATGATTGTTAGTTACAACAGACTGCTAAAGCCTCACTGTCGTGACAAAAACTTCAAGGTAGAGGGAGAAAGGGAGGAAGGATACATAGCTCAGGGTCATTGGCTTTGATGATGCAGGCAACCATGTACACAGGCACACATAACAGGAAGGCTCTCCCTAAATAGGCTCTCCCTAAACAGATTTGAGAGTTGTAGATTCCTGTTGTAAGAACTGCATATCTGATCAGAAAAAGCTATGGACATCTGTAAGAGTACACACTGTGGAACCACAAACTCTATGAATTATAATGTTTTATTAGTAACAACAGTAATTTAAAAAGTAATCAAAATTAATAACATACTGCTGATATTAAATGACTTTGCCAAACACTCTCCTTAGCTCATCAGTTTTATGTTATATGTACATAAAATCCAGTTTATGGATGGCGAAACTGAGGCACAGGGAAATTGAGTGACTTGCCTAAGGTCAAACAGGTGCAAGTACTGGGAAGTAAATCCAGGTTGGGTACCACGGTCAACACTCTAAAGCAATATGTGTACTGACTTACTCTGAGGGACAATAAATGATAACAGGAATATTTTTTGGTAGCATTTTGGTAGACTGAGGCAGCAGGCTGAGGGCCAAAGACTTTGAAAAACACTAAAAGGTTGGAGAAGAGAGAGAAGCCAGAGAAGGAACAGTTACAGAAGAAAGAGAATGAAGCAAACAAGTATAGGACCACAGAGGCCAACGAGAAGAGAGAATTTCAAGAAAAAGAATACCATTCCATAGTGCTAAATAATGCAGAAAAGCCAAGTGAGTGAGAGATGCAAAATGAGAAAAGAATGCAGATTGGGTGATTCTTTTTGGCAGAGCAGTTAAAACAGAAGCCGGGGGGGCGCCAGGGTGGCTCAGTGGGTTAAAGCCTCTGCCTTCAGCTTAGGTCATGATCCCAGGGTCTTGGGATTGAGCCCTGCATCAGGCTCTCTGCTCAGCAAGGAGCCTGCTTCCCCGCCCCTCTCTCTACCTGCCTCTCTGCCTACTTGTGATCTGTCAAATAAATAAAATCTTAAAAAAAAAAGAAGAAGCCGGGTTGCAAAGTGTTGCGAAGTTTAGGCCTTAGGAGGCAGAGGTCCTACTTAGAACAAACCGCTTTTTTTCAAAAGGCTGGCTCTGAGAGGAAGGGTATAAGGAAGTAGTAGAGTCAAGGAAAACATTTTGCAAAGGAATGACTTTTGCAAACTCATAGGCTTAGTGAGAAAGATTTGGGGAAAGAAATAATGGCTGAGAACATACTAGTCAAGAAGGAAAAAATAATGGAGCAAAGTTCCAGGGCCTTACCCAGACTGCCAACCAATAATAATACAGAGTAAGTGCAGGTTTGCTTCTGGTGGTACTAACGAAGGACGTGGTTGGAAGGGAAGAAAGAAAAGCCAGGAAAAAATAGAAAAAATGGAGGCCTTCCATACCCGCCAGCCCTTACCACTGGAGGGGAGTGAGTCCTTGAACATCTCATAGAACTGAGTCAGGTACATCACCATAGAAAGCTTGTCAGGCTCCCCCACCGAGGCCATTTCTTTGCCTGTCATGATGGGAGAAATGCCCAGTTCCTTCTCAGCAATATCAAAGGCCAGCTGGTTATTCTTCTCCACATTTTGCTCATCCAAAGAATCAAAATCTCTAAGAAAAACAGAAGGAGAAAAACATAAGAAGGGTTGCTTATCCTCAGGCCAGAAAACACAGTATCAGTAGAGTCATCATCATTTCCTTCGTCTTTCAGCTAAAATCCAGGGTGCGGGGTTTACTGCAATTTGAGAGCCAACCTGCTCTTCTCACCTTTTGGTCTCCTCCCTTACACCAATAAAATGCAAATCATCCTCAAGGAGAAGAAATGACTAAAGATCTACCCAGAAAGTAAAAAAGGAGGGAAAAGTTGAAGAACTACTCTCATCTTCCCAATAATGTAAACTTCTTACTAAAAGGTAAGCCCAAGAATAGGAACTATCTTTAATATGTATCCTCTTGTACCTCGTATGTGATCTGTACATATTACACTAATGCTCAATAATGATGAATATCCTATTTGGATTAGACTGCTTCTAAAGGCTTAGGACTATTACTCGCTGTGTCATTTGGACCAGACGAGCTGTTGATGCACTAAATCAGCTCTGGTAAATCTTATTCAGCCTTCTACATGAAGGGAAATACCAAAACCTTCCTCAAAAGATGTTTCTGAGGCTAAATTTCCTGAGTTTTCCCAAGTACTTAAATTAACAAACACTTCCCGCTGTGTCTCAAACTTCTTGCCATTCGATGAAGTAAAGACCGAGACCATTCTTCTTTAAGGGGTGATTTCAGATCAACTGGCAGGCCTTTTTTTGTGTTAACCTGCTACTGACTCTGTAGCAAGGTTTTCATTTTTCTAAATGCTTTTTCTTTATAGATTAAGTCTATTAAACCAGGAAGGCCTCATCCTGAATGACGTCATTGTAGTCTAAACGGTGCCAAATCACCTACCCCCACTGCTTTGTGTTCTGTTACATGGAACTTCCCTAGACCTTCTGCAGGCAGCCTTCTCCCTCTACCACCCCCCACCTCACCTGCTAGCTTCCCTTCAGCTACTTTTGCCTCCATTTCCTTTTCTTTCCTGCCTTCCCTTTGGAAGAGAACAGATTTACCCAGTCTCCTGCCATTCATCACAATCCTTCTCAAACTACTCCTTTTTCTTCTCCTGTCCTTTCTTGATGGGGGGTGGGGGGGCCCTACATTCATTTACCAACCTCTGCATTACCTATGGGACAGAAGCACTGGAGATCACTTAGCTTTATCTAAATAAATCAGAAATTCTTATTCCAAAACCATATATGTAAGGCCGTTTCTAGTAGCTCTGGCCTTACTAATTTATAACCTAATATAAACAGGAACTATGTTTTTTAGGTTTCCTTAAGCAATCATTAAAGCAAATGCACAAATTTGGTCCCTAATGAAAAGGACAGGCAGCCAAAATAATTCAACAGTCTTTTCTTTTGTTTCTGGATCTTCCTGTTTGGCTTCCATGGTAACGAATGCCTATGGGGGAAATCTGAAGGCACTGGTCTCTGTAGTTGACCTGGGGTCATCCTATGGTAGTGATTTTGCATTTAGGAGAGTAAAGAATGGCCAAAAGAGAGGGTGTCACTGATATAAGCGAGTAAGGTAGCCTGAATCTTATGGGCCTGGGCATAGTATATTTGCAAAAGGCACAATTCTTAACAGAGAAAATACCAATGAACCATGATAAATTGGGTAAGTATTCACTGCTTTTGAGTTTGTTGGTAGTGACATATTTGCCTTCAGCCAGCCAAATGTTCTAGTGAGGTTTTCCTTATGACCACCAGCATCTGGGAAATAGCTGGCCGAAATGAAGAGTTCAACCTGGGGCCAATAAACAGAGTTTTCCTTTGTGTGATGTTAATAGGCCCAGGTGGGTATTAAAACCAGTTTTTGACCTTCTGAGTGCTGTGATTTTTAAAACTTCAGCTGGATTCAGCTACACGATGCTTGACACAAGTTTTAAATATAACTAACTTGAAATTAATCAATGCTTCCTAGAAAAAAGTATCTTGCTATGTATCCCATTCTAAGAAGAAATGCAAAATTTGGCTATCTGACAGCAAAATACTCTGAGGTCCTGAGCAAATACAAAATGAAACACAAAGTTTGTCACAACTTACATCAGATCAGGGCGGTACCTATGGATGATCGCACATAAGGCCAGTCCACTTTTCCAAGACATAGTGAGATCTGTCACATTTACCCCTGCATAGCCATCTGTCTGCCTTTGGCACCAACCCAGCAGTTTGCTTGAACGAGCTACAGACTCTAAAACAAAAACAAAAAAATCATCAGAAGTGTGGTCACCTGGTAGCATTGATGTAGGATCCTCCTTGTAGTACACATATCGGTTTAAAAACTTACTAAAGGCAGGAACAAAACAGTTATCACTGTTTTTCAAAAATAAAGAGCTATGTAATTGGTATCACGATAGTGGAATTTTAGGTAGATAAGAAACTACCAAATTTATCCAATATCTGATGTCAACACCAGTCCCTTTAACAGAATGGTAAGTCACAAGAGGAATGATCTGGATCTGCTGGTCCTGAAGCCCGGGGTCCCTGCAGCACTCTTGGATACTGACTTAGCTGGAAGGGCACCATCTACTGACCTTTACCCCACCTACAGAAGGTCTAGAAGCGCGGCTTGGCAGCTAGCTGAAGAAGCTCCTTCCCTTCAAATTATACTGGGAGGAGTAGAGCAGTAAAGAGTCTGTTCTCTCTAGCAATACATTAAACCAATAATGTGCAAAGCCCACTCTTACACATTCCAGGGTACAGAGTGATTTGGCAAATGAAGAAACTCTGTAGGATTACACTGGCAAGGCCAAAGACCCTGGACCAGAATAGTCCCCCAGGCCAGAACTGGCACTCCATATTATAAATGATCACAACTTGAAAAAGAGAACACATCAACACATACACTTGGATGTTTTCAGTCCACCGCTGTGTCTTTTTAAACACGAATGGCCTTTCTAAAAGTCCATTTTTCTTAACTGCATCAGAGGAGCTCTGATATGGAGCATTTAGAAGAATCTGTGAATTCCTATTTGTGTCCAAGAATGTCTGCTCTCTTACCTTTGACAGCTGGAAATATCTAATCTTGTATGAAGTCATTTAGTGACTTGGGAATATAAGATAAAAACTGTATATCATAAAAACCCTGTTTCATTTAAGTTTTTCAGTGAAAATTTATTCTAAAACTATACAGAGAAACACTCCTGCTGTTATCATCATAAATCAGAAATTTACTTCAGAAATTAACTTTGTTCAGATGTCTTCCAAATCTGTTTTTCCACCAACCCAACATGTACTGGGCAACTTCAACATTCCAGGCTCTAAAATGATAGTGACAAAGGTTTACTGCCTGCTTTCAAGTAGATGACACTCTAGTGGACACAGACGAAAATGCTTCCAACTGCCTGTTGGTTGTGAAATCCACCCTGATATTGCAATAACATGTCAAACTCAAAACAGACTCAAACCTTCTATCCTCCTGCTTCCTTGTCCAAACTGATGGCGGCACCATCTGCAACCATCTCTTGACCCATGCAAACAAATTGCCGATGCCTATTGATTCTGGCTCTAGAATATACTCTCGCTTGCATAATGAATAACGACAATGACAAAATGGCTGCCATTTATGACCATGGTGGAAGTAGTTATTTCTTATGCCCATTTAACAGAAAAGGAAACCAAAGTTTAGAGGTGCAAAATAACCTGTTCTGGCCCTCAAATTTCACAAATGGCAAAGCTTGGACTGGGACACAGTTGCACCTGGCTCCAAAGTCAGAGTTCTTCTAACTACACTCCACTCCCTTGTCCGTCCTCGACATGAGCATCAGATTCAGGCCTTCACCACCGTTAGCTTGACTGCTACAATGTACTTCTAACTAGTGGCCCTGCCTCTCGCATTTCCCTTCTCCATCCCATCTTCCATGTAGCTGACTAGGTACATTCATTCTGCTCTCATTTTAAAAAAATCTACAGGGGCCCTTCAGTGAACACAAAATATGGAATGGCTTTTATCCCTCATAACTGTATCCTGGCAATGTCGTAGTACTCAGCTAAAACGTCACTGCTTTTTCCTAAAGTCTCCGCCCAGAAACCTTAGTTGGTATGGGTGTGTGCTCACTTCCTCTCTTTCAACAGCATTTATACTTGATTTCTCTGGGTTCTGCCCTGATATTCTTGACATTTCTGGCTAGGCAATTCTTTGTTGTGGGGAGCTGGCCTGTGCACTATAGGAGGTTTAGCACCCTCCCCCAGTCATGACAATCTAAAATGTCTGCAAATGCTACCAAATGTTCCCTGGGGGCCAAGTCACCCCAGTTGAGAACCACGGCCTTATACAGTACTGTGTGCACTACCAGCTCAGTAAGTACAGACTTCTCTGAATAGGGTACTCGCATTTAATAGGTCATTGCCAGAACTCACCATTGCGAGTCAACTTTGGGGTAGTTCGGGAATTCACCAGGTTCTCCATTTCCAGATGAATATCTTTTGTTTCCCCAGTATCATATAAATGGCGCACCTGGCAGAAAGTTAAGAAGGAAAATCAAACACCACTTAACAAGTTCCCACCTGAGAGCAAAATGAAAGACTAAGATAGCAGGTTGGGCAAAGTTCAGATAAAAGCTATGACAATGACCTTTAAATCCTTTCTGGAATGTGTTGGGTTTACATGTAAACAAATACAGATTAGTGTAAAAAAGTTGTGCTAAAAATTAGCTACTCAGCCAACGAGGGCCCCTTGATAGTCACTATTGAACCATTAATACTGCCCATTGATAGCAGGTCTCACAGGCCCCTTAAATAGAGGTATATAGAAGGCTTAGAGCCATAAACTTCAGATAGAAAGTGAATAAAAAATTATACAAGTACAGAGGCAAGTATGTTGAACGGACCACTTTCTAAAAACTGTTGGGTTCTTTGGGATTATAGCGCTTTGTCAAATGTCATTCTCAATGCAATTTTAAGGCTTTAGACATTGTGAGAAATGACTCAGCAGTGTAACAGAACTGACCAACGGTATCTTTAACTTGCACAGAAGGTACTAATTTTCAAAGTCTGTTCAAGTGAACAATCTCATTTGCCTTCACCATGGTCCCGTGAACAGCAGGACTATCACCTCCACTTTATTGATGAAGAAACTGGGGTTCAGAGAAGACGGGATGACACATCCACATCAAAGTGATGGGCAGCAATAATGCAAGAAGTTCCATTTCCTGAGTAGTGAGCAAGTACTCTCTCCCCTACAACATGCAGCTTGAATGAGAAAGTCCCGGAGAAAGTCCTGGATCCACCATTTTGGTCACATGGGATCTTCTGGCAAGTCATTCAACAACTCCCTCCCTTAGCTGCTCAATCTATTGAGGGAAAGTGATACCATTCCAGGGAGACATCTACTTGGATTATGAAAGAAGTGTATGTATACGGTATTAACAGACATATTTCAGTGTTTCAGAGGCCTGATCCGTCCTGAATATGGGCTTAGAGGTAGATAACTGACTAGAAGGCTCTTACCTGGCTCGGGCGGAGGAAGTTGACATTAATGTTGGGGTATCTGGTGACAGGGTCAATGCTGTATTGGCTGAAGTTTTTACTCACATTCTCAGGGGTGGTCTGAGGCAGCAACCTATAAATGCTTTCTCTGCAAGAACATACAACAATTTACTCAGAGCAGTGACAAGCACCATACATATCTCCTTCTCCTTTGATAATATTCCTATTTTCTGTCAATATCCCAAATAATCTGAAGGATATGACAAGTCCTCATCATTGGCCATTTTTCTCCAAACATACATCAGCCCTTGCTCCCATTCCCACTACTCCAGTGATTCCACAGGCACTGGACTGATTGAGGACCAGTAGCAAGAGCAAGTACACTGTGGTGGGTTGAGATAAAAAGCCTGATTCTAATTTAAAAGGCAAATAATTTACTCTTTTGTTTTTTCAAGTAGGCCAATATTTAAGAAAACCACAGATGAAAAAAGAACTTGCCACTAAACTTGCTCAGAGTACCTTAGATAACAGACTTGAAATGCTATCAACCACCGACTACACACAGATTTGAAATCTTATTTCTCTAGTTTTTCTGGTCAAGGCATTTGTTCTTTATTAGCAAACAAATCCTAGGATTCTTCATATGCAATATGAAGAATATGACTTCATATGCAATAATCTGCTTCAACATATCTGACATTTGAAAGTTTGAGAAATATTTGCAAGCAATTTGGGGTTTTCTTTTGAATCCAAAGTCACTTTGTATTTCTTTTCTTATGTTAGTATGTCCCCTGCTACCATACTGATTTCATTAGTGCAAGTCTTTCTACTTTAAGGATGGGAAGATTTAATGTACTATGCTTATGTATTTGTTCATGTGACTGCCATAAAGGAATCAGATACTGTTCCTTAAAGGAATACAAAGATTCAGATACCATTTGTCAGTAATAAATTTAATTTGGAAAGAAATAAGAGCACTTAAATTAGATAGTTTTACATATCTATGACTATGACTTTATTAATCATTATCTTGCTTTTCTTCTCTTAAATATGAAAACATCTTGAATTAAGAAAGCAGGAGAGAGAGAGAGAGAGAGAGAAAAGGAAGAAAACCTGTACTCTGCGTGAGGAGCAAACCACTCATCACTCCCAGGAAAGGGACCCGTGGCTACTTCCCATTACCTCTCGGCCAGGACCTCCAAGGGGCTTGTTCCTAGAGACCAACTTCGTACCATCCAGGCTGAGTCCATAGCAGCTAGAAATCCTCGGGCTATTCCTGTCCCCATTGGCCAAAAAGGCTATGAAGGAACAGAAAACAAAGAATTAAAATAAATTACCTTTCAATAGAGGGAAACTAAACTAAGAGAGAAAGTCTGCTGTTGACAGTACTGTTTGGCAACTGTTCATAAACCGGCAGAACAAATCACAAAAGCTGCAGAGCTTCCATCCATTGTGAGCAACCTCCTTACTTCCTAGGGTATCTCTGCAGGGAGTCTACCTCTGCTGCACCATGCTGTAGGCACTCGCTCTGTAACCTGGGATACTCCCATTGTTCCTCATTATCACTGCTTCCTTACTACTGCCTCTACTTATAAAGCGCTGCCACCCTTACCACTCACCTCTAGGAGGCTGTCCCCAACCAGGGCCACTAGTAACTGGTGTCCATTCTGCTCCCGCACCAAGGCAGCATTCTCAGAGGCGTACATACAAGTGAAGTCGAACATGGCCACATCAGGCTGCCCATAGTGATTGATGGCAAAATCCAGAGAAGGCAGCTGCTGCTGAGTGGAGAAGTCAGCCGCCTCCCTGGCATAGTTCAGCAGAGCCTCTTGGTCCACATTCTCCCGGGAAAGCAAGAGCTCTGTGTCAGCGTAGTCCTGTCTCCAGAGAGAGAAGAGGGTCGAAGGAAAAGCCCCGCTAGAACCACACTATACATGTCAGATGTAAGCTAGTTTCACAGCCTTTCCCTTCTTCCTAAAGTGATTTCATATTCCAAAACAAGTCTTCTACACAAATTAAAAGAAAAGGAGAGGCTGTTTCTTTTGAAAAATTTTTTGTTTTTTTTAAAAGATTATTTATTTATTTGAGAGAGAGAAAGCAGAGAGACAGCACAGGAAGGGGCGGGTGCAGAAGGAGGAGGAGAAGCAGGCTCCCCACTGGATAAGCTAGGACCTTGGGATCATGACCTGAACTGAGCTGAAGGTAGATGCTTAACTGTCTTAGCCACCCAGGTGGCCCTTCTTTTAAAAAATAATAAAAAATAATAAATAAATAAATAGATATTTATTTATTTATTTGAGAGAGATAGAGAGCACAGTGGGGATGGGGAGGGCGAGAGGGAGAGAGACAGAATCCCAAGCAGACTCCCTGCTGAGCATGGAACCTGATGACCCCACAACCCTAAGATCATGACCTGAGCCAAAATCAAGAGTCAGATGCTCAACCAACTGAGCCACCTGGGTGCCCCATGGGGGAGGCTGTTTCTAAAAGAGCACAGGTTTGCTGCCTGGTGTTTCCATACTTCTTTAATCTTGCCTAATCCAACTCATGGAGTTGTTTTGAATACCAAATAAAATAATTTATGTGACGGTTCTTTTTTTTTTTTTTTTGAATATTTTATTTATTTCTTTGACAGAGAGAGATCACAAGTAGGCAGAGAGGCAGGCAGAGAGAGTGAGAGGTAAGCAGGCTCCCTGCCGAGCAGAGAGCCCATTGCGGGACTCAATCCCAGGACCCTGAGATCATGACCCGAGCCAGAGGCAGCGGCTTAAACCACTGAGCCACCCAGGCGCCCGTGATGTTACTTTCTAAACTGAAAACATATTTTATAATTTATGTTATATTGGCGATCGTTATCTTCTGGGTAGCAAATAGCTTCTGGCAAATGGGAACATAAGAAATACTCAGCATTGTGTAATTCATCAAACCCAAAGGAAGCACCTGAAAGCTCTAGTGCCAAAAAGATGCGAGGTGGGAGCAACAGCAGCCAGGGGGTGAGAAGAAATACACTGAAAATGGAACAGAGGCTTTCAAAATAAGATTCTGAAAGGCTCCATAGAAACCCACCAACAAAGAAAAACAATGATGAGAGGAAAATGGGCTTTCCACATAAAAGGACTGAAAAATTCCTTTTTTGCTTTGGAGATTCCTGGCTAACTGAGCCAGATCTCTATTCTCCTAAAGTGGGGCCTATGGTTTGTTTCCAAGTGTCCCCGATGGTACTTCCAGCTACCACTATAAGATGTTAACAGTCAAAACACAAATACTCAAGTTGGTCCTTGAAACCATGTTTGTTCAACATCGAGTAAGTGACTACAACCAGTTTAGTATTAGCAGCACACATAGAAACATGGCCCCTGCCTTCTAGAAGAATAAACAAAAAGCAAAAGTATATCAGGTCTGGGCATGCTAGACTGTTCCTATATATAGGTATGCCTTCGAGATACTGCAAGTTCAGTTCCAGACCACCACAATGTGAATGTCACAACTTGCAGTCAAATGAGTTTTTTTGGTTTCCCAGTAAATATAAATTATATTTATACTATGCTGTAAAAAGTGTGCAATAGCATTATGTCTAAAAAAACAATGAACCTACCTTAACTAAAAAATACTTTATTGCTAAAAAATGCTAACCATTATTGGAGTTTTCAGCAAGTTATAATCTCTGATCACAGATCACCATAACAAATATAATAATGAAAATGTCTGAAGTACTGTCAAGAATTACTAAAATATAACACAGAAACATGAAATGAGCAAGTGCTTTTGGAAAAATTGCACCAATTCTCTTGTTCAGCGCAAGGATGCCACAAACCCTCAATTTTGTAAAATAAATAAATAAACAAAAAGCACTAACTGTGAAGCACAATAAAACAATAATTTCAACTAATAACCACTATTCTGCCTAAGATGATAGATTTGTCTTAGTCCACAGCCTACCCCCGGGTTCACTGGCTATTTCTTACTGATAAAGCATCAAACCATCTTTATCTTGCCATCTTGCTTATGCTTTTGACAGAATGGGCTGCATGAACTGCTCTGTCCTGTTTCTCCTCATGTACATAAAGGAGCTCAAGGCTGAGAAACAGATAATGAGGTCTGTGACTGGGAAGAGGCTGTGCAGCAGGCACGTGTTCACTGGCTTGCCCCCATCACTGGCTTGCCCCCAACGCTGCTCTCAGATATGGCAACAGTATAACTCAGTGCTGCAGAGACAAAGGCACCCGGAACTTTAGCCAGGAGTCTGTGGTAAGACCTGTAGAGGCCTGAATCAGCACATCTGGTGCCTCTTCTTTCCAACTCATCACATGGGAATAGTAATTCTGATTCAGACTGAGCACCATATAAGACTTAAGAGACTCTCCTTAAAGAACCACCTATCCTGTGGTTCTCTGATTTCACATTCTGTTCATCATCTCAGGGAATGTCATACAATTATCCACCTGGAAAAAAGGCTGAAGCAGACCTCTCATGATTGTTAGGTCATGAAGAGGTCTAAATATACCTTGATCTAGCCAGTATTCCCTAGACTTCTGAGACATATCTGCAGTAAAACCAGAACCATTCTCAGACTTCCAGGTCAAACTCCCTTCCCCCTACCACCCTGTTCCAAAAGACGACCTATTAACCAACTACTAATTAGTCATATGCAGAATTAGTTATAATGACATACCAAATCTCCTAAAATTAAACTGGGTATCCAAAATAACTGAGATCTGAGATTTGCTTTAGAACAATCCAATGGCAGGAGTGGGGAGTGGGGTGAGGTACTACTGAAATAATACTGGCCATGTGTTGACAATTGTTAAAGCAAGATAGTGGGCATGGTGGGGGGGGGTTCACTATATGATTCTCTCTACTTTTGTTTACATCTGAAATTCTCCATAACAAAAGAATTTTTAGAAGTTAAACTAAAAAACATTGGAGGAGTACATGTTTCCAGGAGATGAATTGGGTGCTCATTTTCCTTCCCTTGGAGGAAAAACTCATCAGAAAACAAAATCCTTTCTCTTAGTGGTCACATTACCTAGTACAACATAAAAGAGGTTTGAAAGAAATCCATTACTCACATGCAGTATCACCCCTTTGTCTAGCAAACTCTGCTTTTTGGCTGTCATAACAAAATAGTGTGTGTCATCTTTGTAGTAGACAATATTCTCCAAGTCGATACCTGCAACCAGAAAGCAAATCTGTCACATGTGGGCTTGCTGAAATGAAGGTACGTTAGGACAGCCAGAACGTTTACATGTGTCCACAGAGACCAGGCTGTAACACTCTAGGCAGAGAAAGTGAAAATAAAAAGATGTCTGAGCCCAGATTCTTACTTCCTGCATATTCAGTTCATGAGAAGAGGGGGAGCTATGTTCATACCTGCACTGCTCTGTAATTCACTTGATACCCTAAGTTATCCTAAAAACCATGATCAATAGTAAGCAGAAATAGGAGGACTGGAAGAAAAAGAAAGGTCAACTTCCAGTAAGAGGTCAGGGTTAGTTTTCAAGTTAAACATCTTGATAGTCATCAAAGCAACTGGGAGAATCACCTCTGCTCGTAACAGGACAGATAACTAGATATCTGGAAGCAGAGCGTGAACTACTGGTGTTTTTAATTCAATAATATTTTAATTCAATAATAATTCAATAATCTAAAAAACAGATATAATGGAAAGCAATCATGTTCGAGAAAACAGAGAAATGAAATCTGAGGCACACTTTTGCAGCAGCAAAATAAGTTAACTTATTCAAAAGCTATCATACAATAATCTCATTCCTATCTAGCACGTGGTTTACTTCATGCCCAAATTGGAACACCAGGAGACTGTATACTCAGTATCTAAAGTCAGGTTCTAGAGAACCAGAGAACTACCCATCAGTAGCTTACTGCATCGAGCACCATTACTTAGAGCCACAGCATAGTGGAAAGGGTTGGAGAAGAGTTGGTAAAAGGCAGAACGGCCCCTTAAAAACAAACAAATAAACAGAAACTAAGCCCAGAGCAGCCCTGTCACTGTAAAGAGGATAAAGAACGCTAGAAGAGGAGACAGTGGTAAGGAAAGCACTGGAGAAAGAGTGAGCAGTGGGGCAAATAATAGCAATAATGCCAATGACCACCTACTCTACCAAACCCTCTGAGAGAAAAATCACAAGTAGTTATTTAAATTCTATCCCTATTGCTTTGGAGGCATCTATACCAACCTGTGGCTTCCCTCAGTTCCTGGAAAAATTTTTGGTTGAATATAAAAGCCACTCCACTGATCTCTTCCACTTTGGCTTCTGCTGTTGTATTTCGGTTAATAAAATTTGCTGTAATGGCAATGGCCAGCTTGCCACGAAATTCCTTCCGGCGAAATCCTGGAAGGAAAGAAATTTTCAGGGGAGACCAAGGCTCTCTAGAGAAGAAGGAAGATCACTTCAAACAGGAACAGGTGTTGATGAAGACATTGGGGAACATGTGGAATGGGAATCAATGGGAAAATTTTAGGACGATTCTTCTCTATCTGAAAATAAGGTGTTTACCTGCCAAAAAATACATGAATTTCAGGAAGGAAGTCAAAGTCTCCCATGTACTAACAATGTGAAATCTAACTGACCAGAATACTACTTAGTTCAATGGATTCCACTGAAAGAAAGAAAGAAAGAAAGAAAGAAAGAAAGAAAGAAAAGAAAACAAAAAAGAAGAGAAAGAAAAGGAAGCCACCAGTTTACTAAACATAGATATAATCCTGCAGTGTCAACCAATTAATTACCTCTTAGTGCCCTAACAAAAGTGCCCCGTAAGAAGAGAACCCAAATACCAGTTGGCTAGTGCAAGGCTGAGTCTATCATTCAGTTAGAATAGATAGCACACATAAGCAGATACTAAGGAATGTGGATTCTTTGATGATACAAACTCTCCCCGCAGGGTTGGGTGGGTGGGTGGGGGGTCACCCTTCACTCTGCTATGAACCAGGCAAAGCAGCATTGACCAATACCTTCCAAGGTGTTCCTACGGCCATCCCCTCCGATGATCACTTCAAATTCATATTCTGACACAGGATGGGTTTTGGGGTGGACCAGTGCCCGCCAACCTATCCCTGTGGACCAAAGTCAAAATGAAGGTCTTTACCCAGACTATATTCATACACCTAAGACACCTCTAGATACAAACTGCACAAAACCCCGAACTGAAAACACTAGGAGTAAAAAAGCATGGGATACAAAACACAGGGAAAAAAGCCTTGGAGAAGGCTCACAAAAGAATGTTCCCCACGGGGGCACCTGGGTGACTCAGAGTGTTAAAGCCTCTGCCTTCGGCTCAGGTCATGATCCCAGCGTCCTGGGATCGAACCCCACATCGGGCTCTTTCCTTGGTGGGGAGCCTGCTTCCTCCTCTCTCTCTCTGCCTGCCTCTCTGCCTACTTGTGATCTCTCTCTGTCCAATAAATAAATAAAATCTTAAAAAAAAAAAAAAAAAAAAAGAATGTTCCCCACGACATGATTTGTTATAATGAATACAAGTGCTTGCAACATCTAATAGTATGTCAAAAGCCTCCTCATTAAGCCAAAGTCCCTTGAAAGAGGCTGTACAACTGAAGAAACCTCTTTAACTCGTTCTGAAAACAACCCACAGATTCTTAAACTTTTCTCCATTGAGCTCATCTTTTTCTCACACACTCCATGCCCTTTTATCCTTCCTTCATTGGTTCAACCTAACTCACGTTCATTTTCTTGGTCCTCAGGAGGCTGTACAAGACCTTGGAATTCCACGTTGACATGGATCTCAATGCCCAGGATCAGGGCAACTTTCAAAAGTATTAGCTGAAGCTGACGGATACCTGCAGGAACAAAAAGATGATACCAGTGAGGGCACACTAAAAAGAGAGTACTAGTCAGCAATTACTGCTTGGGTTCTTACCTGCCCACCAACACAGTTTATCCAGATTCTCAAAGCCTCCTGTAGCTGGAGACATTTTCCAAGCCACAGTCTATAGCTTCTTTCTTTTCTTTTCTTTTCTTTTTTTTTAAGGGCAAATACAATTCAGTGCAAGAGATGTTCTAAAAAGACATGCAAGGCACGCCCACCTTTTGGGCTGGGTGTTCAAAACAACCTAAAGTTCTGAGACAACACAGATTGTGGCCAACAGGAGACCTTCTTTTCCATCTTCCCCCGATTCCATCAGAGCCACAGTCATCTAGCGGAATCCACAATCCTGACAGGACAAGGGATTTACCATAGAAGGCAAAAGGTGTACGCCTTGCAGTGGGTTTTCCAGTTTGATACAAAAGGGCTGCACTACTTCCTGAGATTCCCACATCTCCCTTTCATCTTGATCTAATACACTCTTATAAAGTGAGAAGGGGAAACCTTCATCCAACCTTAGTCTTTTACCATTCCCTCTCCCACCACTGGTTTACAGGCACAGAAACTGAGGCTCAAAATGAGTGAAAATCTTGCTCCTTATCACAGTGAGATTTATTTATTCTGTGTCTAATGAGTGACCACCAAGTGTCAGACACGGTAGCAGCCCCAGGCCTACTGAGATAAAAATCTAGTCCCCAATGTAGGACTCTCTTAGCTCCGAAACAAATTCCACATAAGGCACACAAATCCAGACAAATCAAATGACCTTGGTCCTCTCTTAAGACCAATCTCACCTGCAGCCTCTGACTAATGTGGTGTGTGCAGGTCCTCATCTAAGTCATCTTGGTTTTCTCCCCCAGCTTATCACAACCACCACCCTTCTGAGTCACACTCCTAAAGGCTCATTAAATCTCCTTCTAGCACACATTTAATATTTGCAGACAACTAGATTCCAAGATGCTTTACATATGATAGCCCAACAGATGGGCAGAGTGCTTCCTCGGCCAATGGACTATGGCAGCTGCCGGCCAATGTTTGGTGAACTGGCACAACCACTACAAAGAGCAAACAGTCCAACAGTTTGATGTATTTGCAGGACACATCTGGAGGAGCTCAGAAAAAAAGTTCCTTGATAAGAATCTCCTGGAATCATTAACGATGATCAATAAACAAGACTCAAAACTTCATAATGTGGACATTGTCTATTCTGAATCACCTTTCAGACACGCCACTTGACAGTCATGGAGAGAAAACCACTGTCTGCACTGACCTGTATCTACTCTATAGGATCTCAGAGAAGCACAGGCCCAAGCTGAGCTTGGAGATGACAAAATTTCAGCCAGTTATCCACGCTGTAGACCTCACGAGAATCACCTAACCAAATGAATCTCGTTACTGATTTGCCATTGGTGACTAAACTAGGAGGCTGCTTCTAAAACTGTGGTTTCCCCAGTACTGACGCTGCAGCATTTTGTCCTTACGTCAGTAGAGTATCTATCATATCACATTAGAGAGAGCCTCATGCTTGGTGCTTTTTCCACTGGCCCAAGAATCACCAGAGGGTCAAGGCTCAAACTGGTAGTGTTTCCTAGGCTGGCCCAGTGCCCATCCCACCCACTGCAAGTGCTCAGGAAGCGTTCAAGACCCAACTTTAGAAATCCTTAAGTTAAATTCATGTCACAGGAGATAAAACTTGCACTGCAGGTAAGAGTCCTAGGTTATAAACCACCGCATCACAGGTATTTTGACTCCAAGCACAGTGGACGTTAATGATACCAAAACAAATTGGACTATTGAGTATGAATTCCTCAAATAATCTATCTCTTTCTATTGAACAAGTGGGTAGGGGGCAGGCATGGGATCCTGCAGGATTGGTTTTACTTACTGATATGGTCGATAGCTCCAGCACAGAACTTGCCATAGAACTTCTTGGCACCCAGACCTCGCAGATCATGTATGGTGAATGGCCAGAGATGCAAGACATTGTTGCGGGAGAAGGCATCTCGTTTCTCAATAACGACCACTTTAGCTCCCAATAAGGATAAGTCAATGGCTGTACGGAGACCACAGGGCCCAGCTCCAATGATGAGACACTGAAAAACACATCTGCTTTCAGGGCAAAGGCAGCACCTCTTAGGAAAGCTCACATTTCTGTAACAGTTTCATGATCTGATAACCATCATTCCCTAAAGCCTCCAAGTTAGGCTATTCTCCTAAGAAATCTTCAGACCTGTCTGGGTCACAGGAGAGCATCTGCAGTGGCTTGAGAGGAAAGCTGGTGATTGTTATGGACAGAGGAGACTGTTAATTGTTAGTGCTTCACATAAACCCAGCACAGGTTCACCTTGTAGGTCTGCAATATACTGAAGTGGTCATTTCAACAAATGACTTGAAAATCACATGTCACCTTTTATTAACAGGAGAGAACCTTCTGAAAGGTTTTTAAGTCAAGCAGATTTCTGTCCAAGGAGACACAGATTATTAAATACATAGTTCAGAGTCCTGAAGTGAATCTACCACTCAAGGATTCCCAGAAGGTAACTTCCAAGAGCCCAAGTTTTATGTGCTAAAAAGAGTTCTAAAATCACCATCTTAGGACTGAAAATCCAGGGAAATGATGTTAAAAACCCATATTCTAGAGAAGTACTCAAGGTGAGAACGGACACTTAACTAATTTGTATTCTTTTTTTTTTTTTTTAAGATTTTATTTATTTATTTCACAGACAGAGATCACAAGTAGGCAGAGAGGCAGGCAGAGACAGAGAGAGGGGGAAGCAGGCTCCCTGCTGAGCAGAGAGCCCGATGTGGGGCTCGATCCCAGGACCCTGGGATCATGACCTGAGCCGAAGGCAGAGGCTTTAACCCACTGAGCCACCCAGGCGCCCCTGTATTATTAATAAAACACTGCACTCAGTCATGCCTCTCTGAATTTCTTGAATTTTGCTGATGAGTATCTACCAGAGGCAAACCCGTGGGGGAAAGGTCTCTAGGTCTCCACACAGGGCAAATTAAAGCTCATGAAAGGACATTAATAATCTAGTCATGAAGTCGTTTGCAATTTTGTTTCTCTGCTAGTTTTTTCCAAACTTCTCACAAGAAGATGTTTTCACATAAGGAGGAAAGCAGGAAATAGACTGTCCCTTCTCACTTCCCTGTTCCTACCCCCTGCACAGGTGACTGAATACCTCACCTATTTCATGAAAACTCTATTTCCCTAGATCATGAAGAAAGCAAAAGAAATATTTTGGCTCACAAAGCCCTTGTTTATCAAAACAAACCTTTGGAATATGGATAAAAAGAGGTCTGAAGATTGTGGCAGATCCCCAAGTTAGCAAATACTATCTAGACCTTATTAGTCACTGAGTATGGAATGACGACTTTATAAAGATGACATGCCAGGCACCATGAAGCCATGTTCAGACAGGATGCTAACATGGCATGGCTTCTTCTTTGCTAAGCAACCTGCATCCTCCTAATAGTGTGAAATTCAAAACGGAGCTCTCAGCGGGGAAAAAGTTCCTACATCACTTGACTTCAGGGTTGTACTTAAATAGCTAAATCTGTTCAATGTGAATACATGAAATAAGAACAGAATCTGGGATATGGAACAGTCAACTGAACACAGGTAATAGACTCACAAAGTCTGACTTTCTGTACTAAGTCTCTGCTAGACTGTCTAGTTCTCACCCGGTCTACCACTACTCAATCCCTTTCTTTGGCCTACTTGTCCTCACAATCTTTTCTCTTGCGGCTAAATCCTTAGGTCAGTGACCCCAAGGCCTGGGAGAAACCGAACCCTTACCTTGGTGTTAGTGCACGCTTTTCCCTTTTTGTAGTCTTTGTGGCTGCCCCGCTTGTCCAACTTTGCCCACAGCGCTTTGGCTTTCCAGTAGTTAAGCTTGGACTTGAGCTTGTGATAAAAGGAGCGGTAGTCCTTAGGCTTCAGTTCTAGGTGGTCACAGAGCTCTTGGAAGGCCTTGAGGGTCCCCTTGCAGGTGGTGGCCTGCACAAACCGGTCAAAGAGGATGTGAGCGCGATTCATCGTCTCGTTCTTACTGTCCTCCATGCTTCCCCACTCTCAGCACCCCCCAACAAAGGGGGCAGTGGGATGACTGTTGATCCACTTGATTCTGTCACATTAATCTAACAAAAATAAATTAAGAAAAAGGAATCGTTAGCAAATCCAAATTTCTACCTATAAACATTTTTTAGGAGACGTAACTCCTTCTCAGATGAAGTTCTGAAGTATCACAGTCATTTATTCAACAAATGTATATCCTATATCTTCTGAATTCCAGGCACTATCTGTGACACTAGGGATGGAAAGATGAGTAAGACAATGTTGCTTTCAAGGGTCTTACAGCTTAGTGGGTAAGACAGACTCACAAATAGAATGTTAAACGTACTTTGCTAAATGTCATTAGAGAGACAGAGGTGTAAGGGATTTCAGAACGAAGATGATGAGTACCTAATTGTAGTGGGTGCTCGTTGAAGATGAACCTCTGAAAGGTGACAGCTGAGTCTTTCAGGTAAGTCAGTGTTAGCCAGGCAGGGAAGAAGTGTGGAAAGTAGGAAAAGAAATAAAGTAGGAAGGCTTGTGAGTGAGTGACTTTTACAGATGAAAGACTCAAGAATGATTTTTGGGTTTCCAGCTTAGGCCACAGAGTAAATAATGACACCAGGCCAATGAATTAAAAATAGAAGAAAATAGAAGAACTCATTTGTGAGGGGAGAGTAGTGAGTACCCTTTGGCTTATTATGTCTGAACTGCCTTAAGAAAGGTACTTGCTAGGCAGTATTTGAAGCTCAGGGGAATAGCCGGGAACCCAGGCCCAGATTCAGGAGTCATTAGCATACAGATGGTAGTTGCATCTTCAAAAGTGGTACAATCACACAAGGACAGCCCATGGGAAGAGAGAGCCATGGGCCCTGGGTGAGATCTGGGACTCGTCAACTTGTAAGCAATTGGTAGAGAAAGAGGAGCTCTCTAACAAGATTGTGAGGCACAGTGGAGAGAGGTCTGAGGAGAAGCAAAGGGCAGTGTGACATCAGTCTAAGAAGCACAAAGTTCAGAGGCTGCCAAGTCAACAGGGTTTTAAAGGACTGAAAAAGTCCTGCCCCTGCGTGTGGTACACAGCAGGGTGGGAAGACTTTATAGCCATTTCATTTTGCCCACAAACATATCTGAAAGTAATGATAATGTCTACACTTTCCACTTATTAAAAACACCTACACATCAACCACCCTATGTTTGCTGGACAGAAGCTTTAAGATGGGAGAAGGCACTTTACATGCTCCTTTAATGCACTCACTCCCTTGAGTCTGTTTCATCATTTTTGTACCACGTTTCATGCATGTATCATCACAACTTAGAACTCCTACTGGGAGGTGGGAGGCAAAGGGCCAAGAGCAAAAACTAAGGCAGAGTAAGAACAGAGAAGCAGGTGAGAGGAAGGAGATGAGCACTAATATAGCTCCGAGCCCCCTGTGCCAGATATTGGTTGCATGACCTTGGGCAAGTTACTTTGCCTTACCAGGTCTTGATTTTCCCTGGTGTAAGATGAGGGGGCTACACTGGATGGTCCCTAAACTCTTCTTCCAATTCTGAAGTTCTCCGAATTTAGTACTAAGAAAATCCTCACAGTCACAGTGCTCACTCCTGGTGTTCTAGTCTGAACTAGCTCCATCATAGGCACACTAGTGTGTCACACTTGCTACTAGTGTGACAAACAGGGCTGCACTGAAACTTTGCTTTAAAGAAGACTTACTCTTGGAGATGGGGGGAGACAGAGGAAGGGGGGTTGTTGATCCACTGTGGTCAGGAGGGGTACAGAGGTAAGAAGTGACTCACTCAGTTTTTAGAGAAGCAACCCAAGAGTACTGGGAACCATCAAACTGTATGTGCTGAAGAAATCAACCGTCAGAAGAAGGCACCAAGCTCTGGACATGGATGAGACCATGTTCTGTCCTGAAGCTCTTACGTTGGGTAAGCGTCTGTGCAACAGAATCCCCCTTTGTGAAGAAGTAACATTCTTCGTCTCTCTATTCCTTACCATGATATTATAAAGCTAAACCACATCAACAGGAGACCTGTCTTAAGCTTCACGGGAGAAAGCAATAGCTATCTGAGCTAACTGAGAACAGACATTCTCCCTTTACGTCAGCAGACCCGGCACTCTTCACCCAGAACACACGGACTTGACTTCTCATCTCAGATATATACTTACTCAACAACCTCTCCTGGCTCTAGATAGGAAAACTACACTGCTACAAAACACAGCTTGTCTCAATAGCCACTTGGCCAAGAGTCCATCAAGAAACAGAATTAACTGGAACTAACCTCCAGATCCTCCTAAATAAAAGTTTATTCTAGGAAACAATATGCGGCAAGAGAAGTATTTTAAAATTCCTAAAAAGAGTCCATTCTTTTTCTTACATGCCAAGGCTTATCTTAGAAATGGTACATAGTAAAAAGAGGTCTTGCAAAAGCAGAAAAAAGACATGTCTATCCAAAGGCAGAAGGGTAACAGGTAACAACTGATGACTGGAAACAAAGGTCCCAGAGTGACTGCCTCTTGCCTTCCTTGTGTAGATTTCTGTGGCTTTATTTGCATTTTTGGCAAACAGACAGCATTTTGCAATCCTGACCCTCTGCATGCCCGACCTCTGTTCATAGTAGACTTTGACTCCACCAGAGTCATAATGTTTGGAAAGCTTTGAAAACACCTGGTCTGATCACTCTGCCTCTTGTCAAAGAAGAAAACGATTTCTTTTTGTTCCTAAAAAGCAGTCACCTTCTACTCCTTGCCAGCATCTGGAGTACTCAGTACCAGGATGTTCTTGCTGAAACCAACACATTAAAAATCCTGCAACTTTGGGGCACTTGGGTGGCTCAGTTGGTCAAGCATCTGTCTCTTGGTTTTGGCTTGGGTCATGATCCCAGGGTCCGGAGATCAAGTCCCGAGTTTGGCTCCACGTTGAGTGTGGAGTTGCTGGAGACTCTCTTCCTCTCCCACTGCCCCCACCCCCTCGCTTGCATGCATGCAGGTGCTCTTTCTCTCCCACTCAAATAAATAAAATCTTTAAAAAAATCCTGCAACATTATTTCTAAAAGCCTTTCCTCTGTCATAATGCCTGTTTTAAGCTTACAACTCCCTAAAGTGTCTTGGGCATTTATTTTCAAAGAAAAATTCTGCTTTGTACACTAATACCTCCTTGGTGGGCTGCCGCCCACTCTGTTTGAAATATTCACTTCCACAGAGCTACTAACCACCACAGAGAGTTTCCAAATCAACCCCCACCCCAGATGAACACCTTCATTAATAACTGGCCCCCAATCCTTCTGCTGACTTTTGGGTTTCAGCCACAGCTCCCAGACAGCTGCAGACAGTCTGCTCACAAGCAGCAGTCAAGTATTAAATGCACAGTCTAAGGGATTTCGACCTGCAGGTCACTAATGACAACAGATAAATAGAGGTTAAGTTGGTTCCTGGAACAATGCGACAAGCACCCAAGGTAAGAGTACACAAGATTAATTCCCCTGGGTTGCCTCACTTTTCCTACTTTGCAAGCCAAATGACCACAGCAGGAAGATACTCTCAAGTGCTACAGCATTACTCTGTACCTCTGTTGGACTGGGACAGTGTCATTAGCAAGGGGAATCTGGCATTCTGATTCATTCTGAGAGTAGCTGGGGAGAACTCCAAAAGGGCCATTCCTGTTGTCGCCCTCATTTCCCTCATTCCTGAAGGTGAATTCAGATCCTGCTTCTCCTGGCCTCTCCTGGACCATCCCTGTGTGCCAAACATCCTAGTATCCTGGGAAAATTCTGTATTCGTAATTACAGGAACCTACAGACCAGGAAACCTGACCAGAGGGGGCCAGAAATCCTGGGGACTGAAAAGCCAAGGTGTAGAAGGAAGGGAAAGGGGAAGTGAGGAGTCTCAGGAGGGAAGAGGAAGAGGACATGATGCCAGGTTTCCAGAGCACTGGTGCAATTTCTGCAAGTGGACAATATCTTGCATGTTTTGTCCCGTGGAAGCGGACTGCTGACTCAGAAGCCTTGCACATTCCTTGGCTGTGGAGGAAAATGCTGGAGAGGCAGCCTATGAAGTGCATGCAGGAACAGAATTTATGTTTCTATTTACAACAAGAGTAAAAAGCTGTCACTGACTCATGGCCGGTTATGAGAACACTCAATCTCTAACTTAGAGTAGGTGGATGATTATTTGTAGGAGGGGAGAACTATCTTTAAAGATAGAAAAAGGAGCAGGCGCCTGGGTGGCTCAGTGGGTTAAGCCTCTGCCTTCGGCTCAGGTCATGATCTCAGGGTCCTGGGATTGAGCCCTACATCCTCTGCTCAGCAGGGAGCCTGCTTCCCCCTCCCCACCTCCCCTGCCTGCCTCTCTGCCTACTTGTGATCTCTGTCAAATAAATAAATAAAATCTTTAAAAAAAAAAAAAAAAAGAAAGAAAGGAAGGAAGAAAGAAAGAAAAGGGAGGGACACCCTGGGTGGCTCAGTTGGTTATGCAGCTGCCTTTGGCTCCAGTCATGACCCCAGGGTCCTGGGATTGAGTCCTGCTTCAGACTCCCTGCTCAGCGGGGAGTCTCCTTCTCCCTCACCCTCTGCCCCTCCCCATCTCCCACTCATTCTCGCTCTCTCTTGCTCAAATAAATAAATAAAATCCTTAAAAAATAGGAAAGGGAAAGAGAAACAAAACAAGAAAGTAGGAATTATACTTTAAGAGTATGAAACCAGGGATGCCTGGGTGGCTCAGTCAGTTAAGTGTCCGACTCTTGGTTTTGGCTCAGGTCACGGTCTCAGGGTCGTGGGACTGGACCCCGCGTCAGGCTCCATACCCCATGTGGAGACTGCTTAGGAATCTCCCTCTCCCTCTCTTTAAAAAAAAAAAAAAAAAAAAAAAAGAGTATGAAACAGAGTCAAGTTTAATTTTCTCCCTAGCCACTGCAGCATCAATATACCAGCAGATGTGTAAATCTCTGAATCTTATTAAGGAATCTAAGAAATGCTTCTTTCCCTAACCCATTCAGTCAGAGCTGTGACTTGTCTAAAAAGATCTTAGCAGTAAGTAGATCTACAGGAAGGCAGGTTTTGGAATGTGATTAGGAGGAAACTTAGATGA